ATAAACTATTAATGGCTTCATCATTGATGATCTTTGACAAAACTCACCATCAAAATAAACTGTGCAATAAACAACTCGACTTCATGAAATCTGAAGGATCTCCACCTGTAATACGATATGAATACAACACGCTCAACAAATTGTCAAATAGTATAAGTTTAGTTCTAAGATAGTCATAAGTTTAGTTTTAATTTAGATTTAGTTAATCTTAATTTAACTTTATTTTATCTTTATGTTTTTTTTTCTTTCTTTATGTATTTCTTTCTATTAATATTGTTAAACAATCTGCATGACAGATTGTAAGTATATATCTACTATGTTACACCAAAAACTTGTATTACTATCTTAATTCACTACTGTGATATCGATATGTAACTTTATACTAATAATGTACTACTCCGCCGTCTTTTGTTTACTTACAATATGTTAAGCGGTTTCTTCATCTGCGAAATATATTTTGATAAATAATGTGCATATATCTCTCAGCTATGTATTAAACGGTACTGAGAATGCACCCACAGGGTGTTTAATAAAAGAATTGAATTGAATTGAATTGAATTGAAGTCCTATGAGTACCACAGCCTTATAACGACCACCAAGTAATATAGAGTAGAGCATCGATTATCCGACCCCCGATTAACCGACCGTCCTAGTCGGCAAATTTCAAATGTCCGCTAGTGATGTGGCGCTACAATATTTGGATATGTCTTTGCTACTTTAATATTATTTTTACGTGTTTTAGCTGGCAACATGGGAGCCAGTATTTAAACGAGGCTTAATTTTCTAATTTTTGACGATACCATAGCGACGATTATTATTTTTTTAAAAAATTTGATAGGCTTAACATGGAGGTAAAATCAACGCGAAGTAGGTTAATAGCGATATACTAATTACATGGAATATAATAATATACTACACTAATAATGGATTTTTTCATAATTTTCAATTATCCGACCAACCCCAGTCCCCAATTGAATCGGGTTAATCGAGGCTCTACTGTACCTTCATATTTAATTTTAGTTTATAGATATTCGTGTAACACGATATACAGAAAATTCTTTCACTAATCGGAATTACTAGATTACCTTATTATGTAATAAAATACGTTAAATTATTTTTCATTTAACTAAAAATATAAATTTTTAAATGCAATTGTCTACATTATTGTATGAATAGAGCAAAAAGCGGCCGATAATTAATTCAAAATAAGAATACTTATCAGGTACTGCATCCAACTACATCAATCCAAATTTATTAATTAGCATTGTAAATAATAAATTCACGTTAACAAAATCGATATCAAATCAAAATTTAATATCTAAATAAGTAATAATAAATTTAGGCGTTCTTCAAGGTTTTAATTTCGTTTCTCTAAGATACTATTCGTTTAATAATCGTGATTTCACTTATAACAATACAAACTTTTAATTATAATAGATATTCTAATTTTAAAATATCTGAGATACTTACAGAATAAAAACTACTTTCAATTTCTTTCGATTGATACGAACAATTTTCTTTGTCTTCCAGCACCTACAAGCACGCAGACACGTCGGTTATTTAACGTAATTTGCATAAAGGAAAGTTTTATTTTAATTTTGGATAACCTTAAATGTGATTTAAAATATTATTTCTATATATAATTCCATGTTATAAAGATTACTTTCTATAATTATATTTATTTACAAATAATCTAGTTTCTGTTATTCGATGGAGAAAGTGTTTTAGGTAAACACTTTCTCCATCCATACTAAGTAAATTAATTCACCAAATGTTAATAGACACATAATAACACACGAATATTATTTGGGAATTTCCATGTTATGCTGGACCAAAGGCTTATTAATTAAAAATAATGGTATTTCTAGTTTGAAAAATATTAGCGAGGTGGAGGCCGAAGTTTTAAACGCGAAAACGTGTACGTCAAGCGTCCAGCGCCGCTTTCATGTAAGCCTAGAAGTTTGACAATGGTGTTCCAATAGTTAGTGGAATCATGCTCGACATTGCAAACACCATTGACAAACTTCTAGGCTTAGAGGATAGCGGTGCTCACCGTCTGACTTATACGTTTTCGACATTAAAACTTCGGCATCAACCTTGCTAATAATTGGATACTGAGGAACGACATGCCTAGCCTGCCAAAAACTTTTGATAAATTAATAAATACAGTAGATCCCCCTATAAAACCGTTTCCTATAGTTATGATTCCTATAAAAATTGTGGCATTATCCGTAAACAACGGTAAAAATAACTCCTATAATACGTAAAACGTCATCGGGCAGCCGAACTACTTACCCGCCGTCCGTAGCGCCACGCTACGGAGAGATTTCTATCGTCTGGACAGTATTATATAAATTATATATAAATTAGGTACTGTACATATAATTATATATTAATTATATATAAATTAGGTACTGTATATATAATTATATATTAACTTAATTTATTGTAACTTTATTATAATTAAATATATATTTTTCGCCGTCTAGCGTCACGCTACGGCGAGTTAGGCGACCTATCGTCTGTTTAGTACTGTAATTTTATACATTTCTTGTGAAAGAAACATTTCTTATTTAACGGCCATAAAAATTATTTATATTAATGATGTCTCCAAAGGTCAACGAAGTTTTCGCAGAAAAATAATATCAGAAATCGCGGCCGCGGTTTGATGCGCTGTTCCGCGACGAAACCAAGCTTTAGCAACGGGCGTAGTCGAACGGTACACACTCGGTAAGCAATCCTACAATTTTTTGTTTATAACGTAGTTTATACGGATTATTTTCAAAAAAATATACGTATTTTGGAAATGTTG